TCTGGCCCGTATGCCCAGTCCTCAGTGGCCTCAGCCGAAATACCCATCCCGATAGTGGCGTCGACACCGAGCTATCCTGCCTCCTTTCCTTAACCCGCCGCGCGTGGACCTGACCCTTATTACGACTGGGTTCAAGCAGCCACATCCCGCTACCTGCCGAAGTCCCTCCCCAATATCCGTCGTACCGTTCCAATCTTAACGGATGTCCCGAAGGACTCACCCGCGGCAGTGCCCCACGGCCCTACCAAAAGCCACACGGCCGTTCCCGGGATCTGCCTGGCCCTWGGTAATTCTGGATATTCAGGCCTACCCACCAGATCCTACRATCGRGGCCCKATCGTGGGYCTGTATTCCAACRGTCCATGGTGSGCCTGTTCTRGCAGGCCAGCGGCCCAAACGATCGGCCCCATAACGCAGCACCCGCCCCCGATCACTCYGAATAAATAATAAAAACGGAAAAAACAAAGCAATAATAATACTAAAACGACCCTCAAAGGGGTAAAYMGGACACCGCCRAAGASAAASAGGCCATCGCCCTGCCAAAACCCTCCCAGTCCTGCGGGGCGGCCCCGTGATCAGGCTTCCCCAACAAAACTAAGGGGGATAGTCCYGCSGGACCCTCAACCCCTCAGCTCTTYGCTGCTCCACTKCTCCCGCTSGCCTCGATCCTTGCACCTCCGWCTCCCGAATCCAATGCCGTAACCAAATAGGGYTAGGCCCAAGTCYGGAGTTAGCCTACGCGAAACCCAATATAAGGTGATGCGGYGYTGTGCCTAGGCCARAAAAACGGCCTGGGCATCGTCCCTGCYTGCAACCAAACCCACGRCCRCTAAGYATTCGCGCYGGCYTACYCAGACCRTGTCGTAGCCGCCCCCGCSCAYCATCCTATGCYGCCCCATTTACCGCACAAGGTCGCACCGTCGCTGTCGATGTCGTCGTCCTCACASRCGCACTCGCCTYGGTCAAACGTACCAATCARAAKAAAAYATCCTCAATTCCTGCTTWACCAATAAATAAATAATAATAATATCATTAAACAAAACGATTGATGTCCGCGCCGACTTTATGATCAACAACAGAAAAGAATTGCGCGCGCCTTAAACCTGTGCGCCCACGCACTCTCTATTATAGTCAACCATCCAGTCAAYRTAAGCCACAGACGCGGCCKCGCCTAGCGCGGTATAYTTAAACTTTAGGCCAAACTTATTTTCTRCCATCTGCAAAAACCCAGGGCGKATACCCTTGTAAGGGTATTCGCRCCGACAGCGCCCCCRCCGGAAAGTAYGAAGCRGATGAATACGAAACACAYCGATGTGCGGATATTGGACGAGTTATATGAGTTACACGTACCTCGATACGTACCTGATSAGATTCACCACTTGATCGCCGACATCCTMAAGGAATASAAAGGAGCGATTAGTGTGACAGACACGGACATTGGACTGTCGYTAGTCATACGGCACGAGATTCAGAYGGGAAACCATTCCCYGATTCACTGSAAACYRTACAGGTATTCCCTGATGRAGCGGAAAAMKGCTCTCGAGCGCATTCGAGAATTCGAAGCGAGYGGATGGATCGAATCCGCCACCGRACCATGRTCATTCCYRGTAGTWTTAGTGTCGAAAAAGAACGRATCAATTCRCATATGCATCGATTATCGCAAACTGAATGAWATCACGATTAAAGATGTATATCCCCTCACYCGGATTGATGATTTGCTGGATGCGATTGGGTGTGCTAACTATTTCAGCAAGTTTRATATTCGACATGACTTCCATCACATTCTGGTTAAGGAGGAAGATCGRTCGAAAACGGCCTTCGTATTGTTTGAACGCATGTGGTAGTGGGTTTGATGTCCGATGGGGATTTGCAATGCGCCAGCCACATTTCAGCGAGCCACGAACGTCACGTTTCAGAACTTCGTCAGCAAGACACGGTAAACGCAAGGAATGATCAACTTCTGCGTCATCATGTACATGGACGACATCTTGGTTTATTCGAAAACCTATCACGACCATGCGCAGCATATCGAATGGACATTAGGTGCTCTTAGAGATGCTGGATTCAAGATCGCACTCGAGAAGAGCGAATTTTTCCTTTCTGAAATTTCGTTATTGGGTTACGTCGTGACACGTGGAGGACTGCGGCCTGACTCGAGAAAGGTGGCGGCGGTGAAGGAAGCTCCTGTCCCCACGTCGCTGACGCAGGTTCGAGCCTTCCTGGGGCTAGCTTCGTACTATCGACGGTTCATCAAGAGCTTTGCCGTGATTGCATGACCCTTAACGAACTTATTGCGGAAGGACCATCCCCTCAGTTGGAACGCAGAGTGCGAGCAAGCCTTCACGACCCTCAAAGAAGCTCTAGCAACGACACCTATTTTGGTCCGACCGGACCCCTCGAAGCAGTTCATTCTCATCACGGACTGACAGTCGGAGGCTATCTCCGCTATTTTAGCGCAGAAGGGGAACGATGGTCGAGAACATGTCATCGAGTATGCGTCGCAAACCGTGCCAGACGAGCGGAATAATGACTCAGCCCCGCAGGGAGAATGCTATGCGGTGTTATGGGGAATCCAACACTTCCATCCGTATCTGTACGGACAAAAGTTCCTCCTTGTCACCGATCATGAGTCCATGTTAGCACTGAAGAGGCTCACTAATTACACGGGCATGATTGGCCGTTGGGCCGTACGCCTACAGGAGTATGACTTCGACATCATCCATCGAAAGACGGGAAAACATGGCAACGAGGACGGGCTGACACGACTGCATCGACCAGCTAAGGTGCCTAAAGCAGAGGAGATCATCCCGTGGAAGGAACCGGAGTCGGCAAATGGAACTCAGTACGGACAGGTGGCAGTCCTTCCACGTGGCAGGAAGCCGGCAGGTGGAAATGGGTGATGGAGGTAATCTCCCAACTCCTCTTTCTCCCCTCTCCTCCTCCTCTCTTTTTTCCTTGCCTGATAAATTTTGTTATTTTTGCGAAGCAATTTCTCGCGTGTATTCAGTATCTATGCGCCCTAGCGGGGAGGGATACGTGGACTGGGTAGACGGTCGACAGTGCGTCGCACGAGCCCATGGCTCGTGCATCCAATACCGAAATGACAGCAAGCCTTGGCTGTGCCCCTTGTGTCGGATTGATAAGATCCCAACCTGGGCTCGTTTTCTATATGCCACGTCAGAAGGGTTGAAAAAGACCCGGAGGTTTAGGCGGGCCGAAGTATGGACGGATATCGCCTTGATTGCTACTCTAGTGGGTAACCCTCTCCAGGACTTCACCAAGGAAGATCGGAGGAGGGCCAACGAAAGGTCTAGGGACTGCTGGGTTGAGGGACGGTTGGAAAAACGGAAGACAGACGGTAGTGGAATTTGGATGGTAGTACCGCACCCGTTCGTGAGGTATGACTGGGTAAAGACAGCGCACGAAGAGACAGCTGCCCATTTTGCCGTACGGATCACGGAGGCGGCGATCGATAAAAATGAGTGGTATTGGTCCGACATTCGCGACGATGTAAAATTCATTGTCGCGAACTGTCAAGTCTACGCGGCCGATAAGGCGACGATTCAGCCGCCAAGATCGATAGTACCGACGGTAGTTGAACGGCCTTTCCAGAGGGTTAGCATGGATACTACCGATATTGTGGTGCCCTCTGGACCTAATAGTTGTGAATGTTCAATCCTACTCGTATTCGTGGACCATTTTTCGAAATGGATCGAAGCGTATCCATGTCGCACGCGACAGGCGGCCGAAATTGCGCGATACGTCAACCGGTTTTTAGGGATGCACCAGGATACGGAGGAAATCCTGACCGATAATGGGGTAGAGTTCAGGGGGAAGTCCTAAGGAATCTGGTCGTACACGGTGTCTCTATTCGGAATACTGCACACCACATGTCGCAATCTAACGGATTGGTAGAAAATGCAAATAGGGTGATAAAGACGGTGCTACGGCGCAATATCAATTACTATTCTTATAATAATGAAATGCAATATTCTATTACATTGTATTCTCATCTTCTCCAATCTAATTGAAAATAGCAATATGTATGTTTATTTCTTTTTATCAAATGTTTCTTGTAGGTACTTTGGTTCCGTTGATTTCAGGTTGGGGAAACTACCGACCCCAGGCCCTGGCCCGATATCGTAGATCATATCCTGGCAGTCCATCGGGGAACGCCACATGAATCGACGGGCCTTAGCCCTTTTCAATTACGTACCAACAGCGTAGCTTGCGTCTCGATACCGAGCCTCCCGGACGAATCTTCGTTGAACCGACGGCCCACGAGGGTCACGGTTCGAGACAAGGCCAAGCGGCACCTGGAATATTTAATGGAAAGGTCCCTACCCCGATTAGCCCGAAAGCGCCAGAAAATGACCGAATTGGCCCACGACGGGCAGGTCCGTAGCTAAGAAGCCCGGAACGGGAACGCGGGTCCGCGGCCTCAGTACAAATTAGGGACTTGGTGCAAGTGAGGAAATTTGCTCACCAAGGTAAGATAGCGCCACGATTCTTTGGGCGATTCCGAGTGATTGAGCTCGGACCGAACGGAGTGAACACCGTGCGCCTCGTGCCGGAGGTCTTGGGAAGTTGATCGGCGCGACCGATCGTCCGCCACGTGTCCTACCTACGTCTTCTTCCTTCCTCTTCATCCCCGGCGCCTTCTTCCTCCTCTTTTGCTACGGAAGAAGACGACGATTCCCCCTCGCTTTCCTCCTCCCCTGTCTCGCTCACCCCTTCTCATACTCCGTCCCCGCCACCATCGCCATGAGTTTTCTCACGGAGCGAGCTCTGGGCGATCATCTCCTGGCGCCACGTGGGTACATCTTAGGCAATCCGACAGGTTTATCATCCGCGCTTCAATCTGGACCTCCTACGGCTTGCACAATTTTTCTGCACCACGGGAGTTTACGCAGCAGCCGAATTCCAATTTGCGGGCAGTCAGCGGGCAGTGGTGCTGCCCGAAGCAGTAGCTGTTCATCGGCGGTCATCCCCGGGGGTTAGCCACGTGTCCACCATCGTCGGCTTCAGCGGTGATATCAGCACAATCAGTCCACTACGACATACCGACATCAAGACGACACTACGGCAATGGGCTCAGCAGTTGGCGGCCGAGTGGAACCATTGGCTCACGCTCCGCAGAAACAATCTTGTCCCCACAGACGACATCGATCTCGACGGGATCCGGACATTTGAGCACGAGCCGGTGGTGGTGCTTCCCGAACTCGTCCCCTTCCCCCGTCCTCAATGAACCACCTCCGACCTTCCACCTTCGCTCTCCCGTATCTTTTCCCCACCTTTTGGCAATCTGGCACCCATCCCCACTTCTCTATCTACTTGGAATCGCTTGATGTCCCCGTTCTCGACCCGGGGCATTGGAGATTGTGGCGCAAGCACTTCGTCGATCTCTCGGTGTGCTTGGTCGGGGTGAGGCTTACGTGGACGCGCGACGAGGAGCACCGCGAGTGGTTCGCATACCTGGAGCTGTTGACCATCCAGGCCTAGAGGACGAACGTGGAGGGCGATCTCCTCGGGTTCCTGTTCGGATCCGTGCGCACCGGCCATCGCCAGCTCATTGTTCAGGAGCTTGCGCAGTTAGCAGACGATGTCCCTCTCGAGATCGTCTCGCAAAGTGACGAGAGCCCGATCCCGCATGTCCTTGCGCGGACTTTGGCACCGTTTCTTCTGTGGCCGGCGTGCCTAGAGGAGCAGGGAAGCAGCCGTAATCCGCCGTCGCAGCGAGGGTATCTGAACCTGCGAGACATAATCGATCTCGCCTTTTTTCATGATCGCACGGCCTCCGAGAACGAGGAGATAGAAGAAGAAGAGGCCGACGAAGAAGAAGCGGCGGAGGAAGACAAGGAAGAAACCCTGGAAGAGGGGAGCTATAGCGAGCACAACGAGGAAGAGCTGAGTGAAGAAGGGGAGGAAGAGGAGCAAGACGACGAAGAAGAAGAACTGGAGTTAGAGGAATCGGAGTGGGAAATCTCGGCGGAAGAAGAAGAACCAGCGGACGCTCAGGCGGAAGATCCCAAGGCGGCGCACAAGAAGGAAGAGATCGCGGCTGGGAAACGACAACTGGAGTTCACCAGCGCGGCAAATTTGTCGATTACCGACGATCCGACCCGCGGCCCAGAACAGCCTAAGCCTGAAGATGGAGAACAGGCCGAGACTTCGAGCGCACCAACAAGGCGGCGACGAAGCCGATCCCCCTCCCCCTCTGCCCCTGACCGTCCCGCAGTTCGAGCCCGTACTGATGCGGGTCATCGGTCTTCGTCCCCGGTAGTTATTCCGTCGTCCCCTTGACCACCTCACCCTCCGCCAACTCACCACCTGCATCCATTTCCCCAACAATCCTTTCCCCCCCGACACCTTCCAGTTCTTTTACGCCACCCGATTGGTCGTCACCATTCACCCCCATCCCTCAACCCGATGCGCCCTCCCCGACTTCTGCCTCCACACCCTTTTCCTTAGTGCCGCGTGGCGAGGCCACAATATGATCGAAGTCTATTGCCTGATCACGGGGACTATCCCCGCTTGCGATAACTTCGACCATTTTCGCGCGGCACTCTTCCGCACCTTTACCACCCTGTATCCCGACTATTTCGCCTCCCTCCCCCATAGTGGTAATCGCTTCCCCCGCTTCCATAGAATCGTCCGTTATCAAGAACTTCCGGAAACGGTAGCCCAAGTGGATTGGTTCTTGCCCCCGCTTCCCGTCAATCCACCCCCTCGCCATGCCCCCATGTATCGTCTCCCTTTCCCCCTCCCCMGTGGACATTGAGGAACGGTGATCGGTTGATTGGTGTGCGTGCCGCGACAATGGCACGAGTAATCCCCTCCTTGGATTGTCAAGGGCCCTTCCTAAGGAATTAGTAGTTTAGGGTTGTGAATGCCGCACTGAATGACTTCCACACTCGTTCACACGGTAAGCGGCAACGAAGAAAGCTCCGCGTGTAGATCGATTAGAGAAATCGACACGTGTCAAGATTCAAGCAAGCGGGAGTTTGCTTAAGATTGGAACCCCCTGGGCGTCACATATGTGACGAACCAATTTCTGCACCACGCGATTTCCGGCGTGGTAGCAACGAGGGATCCTAAGATGGGAAGGATGGGCCAATTACGGGAGATGGAATTGAAGGGAAATTGCATCGGTGTCCTCACTTCTTCGTCATTTTTTCATCATCTCTTTTCAATGGTTGGGCTCAGGGCCGGGTGAGTCCCGGGACAATCAATTGATTCGTTGGCCGTGTGAGTGGCGTGTTGCCGTGCGCGCGATTAATAAATATTGACGTCGCTCATTTTGTTTCGGTTTTTGGACTTTGGGCGCGGACATCGCGCATGAATTTTGCTTCGTTTATTTTGAAGTTTTTTTTGAATTTCCTTTTTGAATCTTGGCGAGCCCCGATGGCTCTCGAAAGTTTGGATTTCCTTTTCGGAAGTTGTGCATCTGCTTTTCCTGCATTTGGTGGGAATTTAAGACTTTTTATAATTAGGATTTTTCTTTTGCCGCGCAACGCTTTTTGTTCGCGCTCTTCTTTATGCAGCCGCAGTGAAACTCTGATTAGTGGGCGCCTTTAATCGTATGTATAACTGTAATTTTGGGCGGGCGCCATTGTAACTGTATCTTTCTTTTTGTGCTTCGTCTTTCCCGCTCTCACTTTCTCTTGCTAAGTCTAGCTAGTTCACGGACTGCACGCTCGGATCGATGCGTGGAGAGAGGTTTTCATCCCCCACGCCTCGATCTGGCCATGCAGAACGTAGGCACTCCCTCTCATGACCTCCTCTCTAAGTCCTTGTAATTTCGTGTTCTTCGCACATGCATGCACGTTATAAATTCCGGCTGCGCGATTAGATAGCTCTCTTAACTAGCTATTGGAAGCTCGGGGTGGATCGCCAGAATCGCCACCTGTCAAAATATAATCTAACTCCTTTGAACTAAGAAAATTTCGGCAACGCTTCCCGTAGGAAAAGTGTCTTTCCAGAGTTTGTATCAGCCCAAATATGAAAACCGAAATAGTCTTTGACTTTCCAAAGTCCAATTTTGTCTAACTCCCTGAATTAACAAAAAATTGGGCATTACTCCCTTTAGAAAAGGAGACTTTCCAGATTTTAACTAAGCCATAAAAATTTCAGACTCCTTGGATTTGCAGAAATTTCGGCAGCGCTTTCCGTTGAGAAAGTAACTTACCAAAATTTATACAAGGCCAAGTATAACAAAAGATCTCAGAAAATGCGAGAATTGATCTAAGAAAAAAACTTAACTCATAAAATGCAGGAATCAAAACTAACTCCTATGGCTCTAGCACGTGGCGAGCAACTAAAAACAACTACCTATCAAACTGAAACTCGGACCAAGTAGTAGCTTCCCTCAGTCACATGCAAGCCAATCCACAAGGGTAAGTACTCTCACCAACCCCAAATCCTTAGCAAACAATAGTTCATGCTCCCTCTGTGAGTTACCACTTTATACCCAACTTACCTAAGGCATAGGTAAGGCCACCTGAACTTACAGAGCGCGCCCAACTTAGTCAGGCCTAAAGTCAGATCACCTAAACTTATAGAGCGCATCTGACTTAGCCAAATATACACAAAACAGAAGGCACAACTACTTCTCTCTTCTTTGGGTATATGACTAGACCACTCTAGTCGCCCTGAACTGTTTAAATAGCCAAGTTATATATATATATATATATATATATATATATATATATATATATCTGAACTTTTAATCTTCAAGGTGGGCTTAGAACCGAGCCATTCATCTTAAAAACAATGCTCAACCGACCCAAGTTACCTTCAATTATATCTCTTAATTGTACTCTCTTCAAATTATGATAAGCTATAGCCAGACCATCCAATCTTATGGAACCCGTATTTGACTAGTTTGTTTTTAAGAACATATTAATAAAGTATAACCAAGTTATAGCCTTTGGGTTTCAGTTTGTACGAGGCCTTGAGTCAAACCTCCTGAACTTACAGAAGAGTCTGCCTCTCCACCTGATTCCTTTCTCTCTGAACCATCGTGTGTGTGGCATTGGGCTGGACCACCTGAACTTACAGAACAGTCTGCCCTTTGCCAAGTTCACTTCCTCAAATAAATGCAGAAAGAGACTGAGCCACCTAAAACTATAGAACAACTCAGCCTCCTCGTTCAGAAACCAAAGAACTGAGAAAACTCAAAAACGGAAACAAGGCAACTCAATGCACCAAAACTTATTGAATTCCCTGAGCCCTTGAAAATCAACGACAATCAAGCCCTCGCAAGTCAGAGCAGTCAGGTCACCTAAACTTATAGAGCGTCCTGACCCTCCATGCAATTCGCAGCACCGGGTCTCCCCAAACTTATGGGGACTTCCCAGCCTCCAAAGCCATCAGGCCACCTAAACTTACAGAGCGGCCTAATGCTCCATGCAAGCAAAAGTAAACAAGCGTCGGGCTTCCCCAAACTTATGGGGACCTCCCAGCCTTAGCGACCCAATCAAACTGCACACAATACTGCCTTCCTCCCAACCTTCCCCCAGATGCAACTTCCTTTGTTCACAATCTGCTTTCAGGCAGCCAACAAATCTGAAACTGACATTGCACACACATTCCTTTATTTAGTCTGAGTTCACGTCCTGAAAGTCAAACCAAACTCAGAGTACAAGATTCACGCGATACATTCAGTCAAACGTAAAAAGATGTACACATAGGGGTTATAACTGGGTTTATAGAGGGAGTCAGGGAATTACCGCTCAGTTCCCTGCCTCCAAAACTCCTCCTGAGTCCCAGCAGAGCTCCTGCAATCGGAGGGCTGACTCCCCACAGAGTCTTGATGAGGTCCTACGGATTGCAACCCTGTCTGCCGCCTTCCTCTCAGAACAAGACCAGACTTAGAGTAAGAAGGGTAGACAAAGAGGAATTTGAGCCGCTTAGATACGAGGATGGCGCTCTCAGACTCGCGCGAGAGGACCTTGATACCTTGGTACGCCGGAGGGCCCCGCAACGGCGGCCAAGAGTGACAACTTGGTCACAACAGAAACCCAATTGTTGAGGTCAACTTCTTTAACGGCCGCCCAAGTCGCACCAATAAGACCCCTTCACTACTACCCACTCACGTGACAACAACAACTTGCTCAACATTTCGTTGTCCAGCACTGGTAGCAGCAACCCGCAAGCCCATGAGCGACTCCTTAATAATACCAGTGCAGGTTGCAACAACAATCTGTTACAAAGAGATCACAATACTTAAAAGGATGTCTCAGCCGTCTGTGGAAAAAACAGCTCCTTGAAGGTCAATAGCAGCATCGGCAGCAGCCCTTCTTACTGCATAACACACCCCTTCCCCTCTTCTAGAATCATCCTGCCGGTACTGAAACGCACAGTTGAGAAGCCTCAAAGCGCGATGGCGATGACTTCATAGCCAGCCAAACAACAACACTCTGATATCACGACGACCACAACTCACTCCTACGACTACCACAATCCACGTTCAACATCCGCAACAGCGCCCGTACTCCCCCTTCTCTCGTGGAAGCCGACCCTCCGTTGTTTTCTAACGCATCCGGCCCAGCAAATATTCACCCCACAGCCCACCTCCAGCGATCTCGACCGATAGGATAAGCAGCGCAGCGGCCAAAAGGGAAATTACAGGTGAACCTCCGGCCCTGCAGCTTACCCCGTATTGCTGCCTCCGTTCGGTTGAACAAAATCGAATGGATCTACCGCCGAAATCTGGCCAGGTGCATGCCTCTCAGTCAAGCTCGTAGTGAGGTCGGGAGCAGCCACCCCCATCGATAGGGTGAGCAACGCATCGGCCACCGTCACATGGTAAGTCTTCCATCTCACGGCCCATCCCCTGCTACTGCTCAGTATAATGAGCACAGTCGAATGGCTCTTCTGCTAGCCCTGGCTGGGTGCAGTGCCTGCGCAGCGGCCCGTTGGTGTATCCCCCACCTAACGGAACGAGGACGAGCCTCTCGCTAGAAACAGGCTAGCTGCACACCACCGGAATCTCGCCCCCGTCACTCTGCCTCCCTGATGCGTAACCCTCTCTCCTTTTCCACCCCCGTTTGAGCTCTTCCTTACCTCTCCTTCACACCACCACCGCGCAACTCATCCTCAACACAAAGGAGAAAATTCGAGTGAATTTTCCACCAGAACATGGGAAGATACATACTTCCTTCGTCCACCCGATATCTCCCCGCAGCTCCATCTCTACCAACTCACATTCCGCTAACCCAAAGCCAAAGCTAACCCTCCCATTGACCTCGCAATGGGCAAAAATCTCCGACTAGCATCTTAAACTGCAGAAAACGATCGAGGAGCGACCGAGCTGTTCCTGTTTCACTCTCACCTTCTCTATTCCCGCCATAGCTCCGCGCAATCCCTTTTTATACTA